ACATATTTACTGTTAATTTCATTATGAAATTAAATTATTTCAGAGTAAAAATAGGTTTGATCATGTTCTGCATTCAGCACCAACATTATAGTGAGTAAATATACCATACTTCTTCATTACTTATGTAATGCTAGCAGGATTTGGATAAATTTGGGTGGATTTGGGTAGATTTTGGTAATTCTACAGACCGTTCATGAGCAACAGTTTACAGTAAGAAAATATCACTCCTTCATTCAGATTACATTATGATTACAATAATTACATTATTATGCAAATAATTCCTTTAAATTATCCCAAAAGTTACTCTACTTTGAAATTTTCCACATTGGATGTTAACAAACTCACGAATTAAAATGAAAATAGCTAGTATAAAGATGTAATGATGTAATCATTACATTATGATTACAATAATTACATTATTATGCAAATAATTCCTTTAAATTATCCCAAAAGTTACTCTACTTTGAAATTTTCCACATTGGATGTTAACAAACTCACGAATTAAAATGAAAATAGCTAGTATAAAGATCTTCAAATTAATAATTGCCAAATTTGCAGACTCACAAAATTGCAAAAGTAAAAATCACCAAATTCAACTATCATCAAAATACATGAGCCTAAAGAAAAACTTCAAAGAAAACAAATTATTCATGGTAGCACTGGCCTGAGAAATTAAATGGACATTTGAGTCAAGAATATATTAATTAAATAATATCCTAAACTGCAGCCAACCATTATATGAAAATTTGATTTCCCTTCCTGGGTACCTTCCATAGCCTAATTGGTTTGGTGCCTTCTTTTGATAATTACTTCCTGGGTAGCTGTAACACACCACAGTAAAGGGTATGGTTCACCCCTGAGGATACAGTAATATCACTGTACTTGAAACTTGACAGCACAGGTGGAAAGGCAAAGGAACTGACCTAGAGTGGGAGGGGTGATGAGTGAGTTTGGTAACTGAAATGGAAGGAAAGGGAAAGGAGCATGAAGCAGAGCGTATGGGATGGAGAATGAACTGGTCTACTACCAACACAGTTCTGTAAAGATGATTGCCGGTGTTGGAACTGTAGTAAGTTTGGTCATGTTAAGGTAAATTGCCCTAGTTACCAGACAAAATTTACAGAAACATGGTGGATCAAGGGAATGTGATTAAGGATCAGCAGAAATTGACGACTTTTCTCGATACTGTACTAGAAATCAAGTTATGTTAATTTAACATAACATGGTAAAAATCCTACCAAATGTTAATGTAAAACATCATGAAAACAACTGACCAGATTCAGATTCAGATTCAGATGTTTATTCAGGTAAGGTATATACATACAAGTGATGTTACATTAATGGATTGATATATAGATAGAGCTAGTACATACAATGCCTAAAGCCACTATTACGCAATGCGTTTCGGGCAAGAAAAACATTAATATCTAGAACTTAATACTAATTGAGCATAAAGAATAAAAGGTGTTGAGAACAAATACAAATAAAGATAAAAAAAAAAAAAAAAAAAAAAAAAAAAAAAAAAAAAAAAAAAAAAAAAAAAAAAAAAAAAAAAAAAGGGGAACATGACTGAAAAAGCAGCACAAATACAATAGGTTGACAAACAGTGTTGATTAAAAAAGAAAATAACAGATATGGGTTGACAATAGAGGAGTGAGGTAGATTACAGGGAATTTATTAGGTAGTGTTTAGTTTTTATCTTAAACTGGTTGAGAGAGGTACAGTCTTTAACATGGTTGGGAAGGTCATTCCACATTCTGGGCCCCTTGATTTGCAGAGCATTTCTAGTTTGATTAAGACGTACTCTAGGAATATCAAAACTGTATTTATTTCTGGTGTGGTGCTCATGGGTTCTGTTACAACCTTCTATGAAGCTTTTAAGATCAGGATTGGCATTATAGTTTAGCGTTTTATATATGTATAATACACATGAGAGAATGTGCAGTGACTTAATATCTAACATATTAAGAGATTTGAGTAGGGGTATCGAGTGATGTCTGGGGCCAGAGTTGGATATTGTTCTAATAGCGGCTTTGTGTTGGGTAATTAGAGGACGTAAGTGATTTTGGGTAGTAGAACCCCAAGCACAAATACCATAGTTGAGATAAGGATAGATAAGGGAGTAATAGAGAGTCACCAGGGCAGGGCGTGGTACATAATATCTGATCTTAGAAAGAATGCCCACAGTTTTTGAAACTTTTTTGATATATTTAGAATGTGTCCCTGGAAATTCAGCTTGTGGTCAATGAGAATGCCAAGGAATTTGCCATCTAATTTGTTACAAATTTGGGTATTGTTTATTTTGAGATTTATAAGACTAGAGGATTTATTGCCAAACAGAATATAGAAGGTTTTGTCAATGTTAAGGGTGAGTTTGTTGGCAGTTAGCCAAAGATGGACTTTATTTAGCTCAGTATTTACTGTGGCATTTAGAGCAAGAGGGTCAGGACTGGAGTAAATGAAGGTTGTGTCGTCAGCAAATAGAATTGGTTTGAGGTGTTGGGAGGCATTTGGAAGGTCATTAATGTAGATGAGAAAGAGGAGAGGGCCAAGTATGCTGCCCTGAGGAACACCAATGTTGATGGGTAGGGTGGGAGAAATTGTATTATTCACAGAAACATATTGGAGCCTGTCAGTAAGGTAGGACTCGAGGTATTGTAGGGAGTGTCCTCTGACTCCATAATGATGTAATTTAAGAAGAAGGTTATGGTGGTTGACAGTATCAAAAGCTTTACGCAGGTCCACAAATAACCCAACAGGGAACTCCTTTTTATCAAGAGCTGTATGAATCGAGTTAAGCATACTAATAAGTGCATCGTTAGTGCTTTTTTTGGGTCTGAAGCCATATTGGCAAGGGCTAAGTATATTGAGTTTGGCTAGATATGAGTAAAGCTGCTTGTATATAAGTTTTTCAAAAATTTTTGACAAGTTTGGCAGGATTCATATAGGTCTGTAGTTGTTAACATCTGTGGGGTCACCACATTTGTGGACAGGCGTTACTCTCGCTTTTTTTAGAATATCTGGAAAGGTTTGGAGTTCAAGTGACTTGTTGAAGAGCAAAGCAATAGCAGGGGCTAAAGATCTAGAGGCTTTTTTGTAAATTAAAGTTGGTATCTCCTCAAGGGCACCAGACTTGGTTTTAAGGGAAAGGATTATCTCATTGACGTCAGTGGAGTTAATAGGCTTTAGGTACAGAGACTGTGGATAGTTACCTGTAAGATAGTCCTTAATGTCAGTACTGGAAGATGGAATATCATTTGCAAGGGATGAACCAATGGAAGAGAAGAACCTATTGAACTCAATAGCAGAATCAGAGGCTGAAAGCTGACCATCGTTATTAGACAGGAGAGTCGGTTTGTTATTTAAAGATTTCTTTGATCCCAATATTTGTGAAATTGTGCTCCAAGTTTGTTTAATGTTGCTCTTTATTTGAGTAAATTTATCTTCGTAGTATTTAGTTTTGGCTCGTCTAATTATCTTAGATAGCAATAATGAGTAATTCTTTGAGAATTCTTTGGAGACAATTCCTAACCTATACTTCTTCTCAAGGTCGTGTTTTTTGTTAATGGATTTCAGTATTCCCTTTGTAAGCCAAGGATTGTTAAGCCTTTTGCTTGTGACTTGTTTTGTAAGCCTAGGACAGTGGGTGTTATAAAGGCTAAGAGTTGTTTGTAGAAAAGATTGCACTGCTAGGTTGATGTCCCCTATGTTACCTAACTCGGACTCCCAGTTGACATTATCAGCAGCAGTTATAAAATTGTTTATAGCAGTTTCATTGTGCAGCCTAAAGCTTAACTCCCTTGTTTCTAGAGGTGGGAGACCACAGTAATTGGGCATGAAATACAAATACTAGGTCAAGCAAATTTGCAATTTGAAAGAGAGGCATGGAACCCAGTATGTAACAAATGTGTGACAGTGTAGTGGTGTGCCAGTTCCACAGATACTATTGGCAATGGACTTTCTTAGTAGACTTTCATATTACTATCTTCAGAGCAGTGTGTTAGACAGTGTCAGTTGAGGTTAGGAAAGGTATCATTCCCAATAAAATTCACTAGTCATCCACCAGTAGAAGCCACAATTATGAATAGGACAAAATATCACTCAAACTATCCAAAGCAGTTGTGTATGTTTGTTACCAGTGAATTAGATAATAAAATCTTGTTCTTGTCAATCATTTAAATTTATTAGAGTAGCAGTCGGCAAATACATAACCCCAAGTAGCACTCTTCAAGTACCTGGACGCTTTGGTAACCTGTTAATTCCCCACCACCTGGCATCCATTATTGACCATGATACACTAATATAATAGTACAAGTAATCAATCTCTCTAATAAACTACACCATTTTTGTATGGGAGCCAGATTAACACAGGGGATGCTCACTGACTTAGATTCTATAATAGTCAGATCCTACATCCTCAACAGTTCTGCAGTGTGGAGCTTTAAACACCAGACACACATTCACATCCTTCAGACTCAGAGTGCAAGAGTCCTCCACAGAACATGGGTGCTTAGACAAACTGATAACTCACTTAAACTTATATCACCTTATCTACCTTCAACTTATCACCTTACACAAGAGGAACATTTAAAATTAAGAGAAGTACCAGAGAAGTTTCCTCGTTTATTTGCAACTGATGAGGATGAGATGGGCTTTTTTCCTCAAATCGAACACTATTCCAACAGGTATTCTCCCACCTGTTCAGACCCATCAGGGGAAACTTCCTGAACAAGCAAAGCTATTAATGTCAAAAGATGCTTTGACCAAGAGTTCTCCATCATCAGCAAGATGTTACAGGACACATCCACAGAGACATCCTACAGTAAACTTCTATTAATACTCATAATTTGGACAGTGTGATAAGATAGACTGAGTGCAAGAGTGGCAGACACTCATGTGACTGAGGAGGACCAAGAACACAGTTATAAACTACATTGTGATGTGGTGTGACTGTAATACAATACAATAATTATCATTTTTTGTTACAATACAAAATACAATATTTTTGCTCTTTTATTACAATACAAAATACAATATTTTTCATCTTTAGTTGCAATTAACTTTGTCAGAATATCAGACTTATTAAACGCTGATCTTTCCAATATTTTTGCATTAAACTAGATGTTAATTATACATTTTTTTGTTTCAAATTTATGGGAGAAGAGGAGGAACAGTGTCAGAGATGATGGAGTCTTAAATTATCCTAGAAAATATTGTTTGCATTATTATTTTTATGCCATAATACTCTTTGCTTTTATTACAAATATATTCTTGAACAGCTTAAGTATCATATACAGTATATTTTATTTGTTCAAGGATGAAGAGGATTGTCATTAGACAGTGTTACAATTTTTAAACCCTATTAGTGACATGATACTTGTTGTTATTATTTTTTAAATGTGCTCTCATGTTGTTATTTTTTTATTATCAAGGTGAAATGTGCAAGTCTTAAGTTTTCTATATTCTATTAATTATCAAATGTTGTTTTTGTCAAGAAGAACTATCAGGGACAGTCTTACAATATTAATCATATAATAATCATTATCGTTAACTCTGATATTATTCTTTCAATTGATTAAATTTTTATTGTTAGGGTGAACTGTTCAAGGACAATTTTATAATTTCTATGTTGTTAGTTATGCAAGAAATTCTTAACTTTACTACATATTACTTTTATTAACTGTAGATGAATAGTGTAAGAGAGAGACCCTTGTGTATGGAGAAATAGCAGTGTTAAATGTTGAAAAACAGTCTGGAACTCTTACAGTTGAAAACCCCACCCAAGGCGGCAGATGCACCGAGTATCATCTTTACAGGAAATGTCATCTCTCAAAACCAATGTAAACAAAAGTAAATAAATGGTTAACCCTTTATGTATATTGTGAGCTACACATTTCCTTACCTATAAACTAATATTGGTGGATTTAGTTTAATATATATAAACTGACAAGTGGGATTTTTGGACTCCTTGGATACCCATTGATATACTGTATGTAACTGTATGTTAGAGGGGCTAGCTTTTAATCTTCTTCAGGCAAATATATCTATAAGTTTAATTTTAAGTTGGGACATAGATTAGCATAAGAAAATTCATGTTTAATTTCTACAAAATACACATGTTTTTGTCTTAATAGGGATACATAGGGGGTATGTAACAAGTTTATGTAACAAGTTGTAGGTAATGAGTTGTATGTAGCAAGCTAATGTAATGACGTGTAGGTAGTGAGTTGAACGAACACTTGTGAACACACTGTGGTGAACAGAGATGGGAATGAACAAGTGAATAATGAACAAGGAAAAAGTGACTAGAAAAGTCTGCCTAGGAAATACTGAACAGAAATAGTAAGGCACACACAAGGTGATGAACAGAGCAAAAACAAGGTGGATCTGCTTGTGTGACAATGCCCTCAACTGCCCTCGTGAGGTGGGGAGGAAGAGGCAACCGTACTAGTCAAAGACTAATATGGAAACAGAGGGCCACTAAGGAGTGGTTTGTCATCGAGGAGGGTGGTGATTTTTGTAGTGACCTGATGAGAGGTAAACACCCATCTCAACTTATTGTGACTGCCAAATCTCTTCTACAGAACTACCGTTGATTGCCTGTAGGGTTATCTTTAGTTAGAATGTGTCTTTCAATTACTTAATAGTAAACAGGAATGGTACTAGGTTTCAATGAGTGGTGCTTCGGGTGTTACAAGGGCTGAGGTGAGAGGCACAGCTGGGATGAGAGGCAGCTGTGGTGAGAGGCAGGGCTTGGGCAAGAGGCAGAGCTGGAGTGAGAGGCAGGGCTTGGGCAAGAGGCAGAGCTGGAGTGAGAGGCAGGGCTTGGGCAAGATGTAAGGTTGGGGAGAGAGGCAGGGCTGGGATGAGAAGCAGCGCTAGAGAGGTAGGGCTTGGGCAAGAGGCTGGGCTGGGATGAGGGGCAGGGCTAGGAAAGGAAGGGCTGGGGTGGTGGAGGTAAGGGGAAGGGGCTGGGCAAAAATATAGCAGACAAGAGGGCGAGTGGGAAAATGGGGGTAGGGGGCAAAGATTGGGTATAGGTACATAGCAGAGGGTGGATGGGTGGGGGTAGGTGCATGTGTTTTGCCAGGTAAAATCTGTGGCTTTGCATACCTGTAGAAGGACTCTGACTCAAGTTACATTTAAGACACTGAACATGGTGGTTCTATGGCATTAACATATACACATGCACCACGTTTGTCAAATACAAAGCAAAGTGTATGCATAGCATCAATGAGAAGAAAGCACGGCTGCTTCACATACTTGCAGAAAAGCTTTATCAAAGTGCGCACCACTTTTATGTCTTTATCTGCATTGCTGCCTTTAACAAGGATGTTATACTTGGCAATCAAATAATCCTCCTGAACTCTTTGTATTTTCCTAGAGATGAGTCTGTAGTTGTATGGCGTCATACTCTGTCTACCTGGCACTTCTCTTTGGTCATATTTTAGTTGGCACTTGGGACATATCTTTGTGAAAGAGTTGATTGCTTCATTACATTTTGTGCACATTAGGAGTATAAGTTGTGACAAAGCCATGCAAGTTGGCCAGTTATTTTCACAAGCCTCACATGTACATGTGAAATGGTATTGAGTCTTCAATGTCAACCTCCTGAAAAATGTTCCTTCTTCAGCAAAACTTTCTCCATACAAGATAGTTAATGGTTTGCCAGCAGGAATGAACTGTATTGCTCTTACAACCTCTGTCTTACCATAGAAAACTGCAGTACAGTTTGCATTGCAAGAGTGATTCATAAGGCTTGATGCAGAGTAAACTCCACAACCGCACATTGTCTCATGACTCTGGCCGCTATTATTCAAAGCAACCTGTAACAGAATTATGTAAGATATTAGGTTTATTAGATAAGGTGAATCTCATATACAACATTATTTATTACCAAAATGCAACTGAAGAAAATATTAATACAGTACCTATATACTGTACTGGAATGTGCCTACATGCTACCACCTAAGGTAAAAACATCATGAGTGGCAGAGTGCTTTAGTGAGTCTACTCTTTGTAGTCCCTTGATAGCTCCCTAACTTTTGTTACTGGCACGACATTATGAATATGTAACCCATTCTCCTGTTTAGACAGTAGTTGTTTCAACTATGTGCTCCATAGTACTGTACAAACATTAGATAGTATAACTTTGTACTATTCACTTTATAGTCTGAAAAAATGAGGCTAAAACAAAAATATTTCTAGGCCTAGTATACCACACATTTTCCTCAGATATCATGTATTAGGCCTAGGAAGGTTAGGTTAGTTTAATTTGTTTTTGCAACAAAAATATAAAATCTTTTCCGGTCTGTTCAAATTCAGTAGAAGTGATTTCTACTTTCTAATTGTGTTGTACATCAGTATATGTACTCTGGTTCTCTTTGTTACTATAAGTACTACCAAAACAAGAGGAAGGGCTAGAATTTGCTAGGCTCCTGGCAATCATCTTCACTCGCTTAGTTAAACTTACCTTTGCAAACCATCTTGCCTGCCTCAGTGGGACTGGTAGCAGGCAATAACACCAGGAAATGTTTTAAAATACAGTAGTACTCAGAAAATTCAAATCACAAAATAGTGTATTTCATGAAAATCCAGAACAAATCTGCCCTACAGATTTTCCTGCACATTCAGATTAAAAAAAACAGTGTTGAATGTAATGAAACACCAGTTTCTGGGCGAGTCCCAGAGGCTTCCTGGAGCTAATGCACTGATTCAATGCCAAACTACTAGATACAATCAGTTGTGGTGTTCTGTTGACCTACCAGGGACCCCCCCCCTCCCCTCAGTGAGACACAGGGAGCAGTGGCCTATGAGCACTTTACATTTAAAGTTAATAATAATTGCCACCACATGGGAAGGCACCCAGAAAGTCAGCAAAACAAAACAGACCACTGCATGGTTAAAATTGAGACGGCAGCCTCAAAATTATCAAAAGAACTTCCCCAACTATGAAAACAACAAAAACAACAAACATTTTGTTAAACTAGTATAAGCTAATTTGTCCCACCTCCACCCTTTGCCTGGGGAAAGGAAGGCTGGGGTGGGAGTGGGGGGGGGGGTGTCAGGGATCCTCTGAGGCTCACCCAGACACTGGTGTTTAATTTCATTCAATGTTGATTTTCTAGGGGGAACCCATTGAGGCTCCTTGAAACTACTACTCATGGAGAAGGACAAAATAGGGCACTTACCAGGGAGGAGGCAGCACTGCAGTTAACAAAGCTGACACTATCAGTTGCAACAGATGACCCAAAGCCACACAAGGCCACTGAAGACCACGAACGTTCACAAGATACCTGACCATTAAGATCCTATTTGATCTCCAAAACCCCCACGCTCAATTATCAGTCCAACACATAGTAACTATCCACCCTCCCCCTCCCTCCAGGCAAAGCTTAACAAATGAAATTGATGTAATAATGAGGCAACATTAAAAGAATTGACAACACATTGATTAAACATTATTCAAGATGTTTTCACAATGGATGCAATAATTTATAATCTTAAAAAAATAACAGAATACCTAAAAATTAAGAATGGATAGTTTAGATGGTTAAAAGTTATCTGGTCCTTCCCAAGCCAAATATTTATCTATGGAAGTGCCATGGAACAAAGCATATATACTTGAATTATTTACCGTTAAAAATCCAATCGCTCTAGCATTACAGATGAGGTTCATCATATGATGGATGAGTGTGCTGCCAGTCAAGATAATGTCTTCAAGACTTGGAGTGAAGGGCTCGCCATCACAACTGATGAAGTAGCGCCCACTCAGCTGCAGAAGTTTGGTTATAATAAAAGCTTGTATGCATCTCCTAAGTAAGTCTTTTGAAGATCGCTTTTCTTTGTTGGTTTTCAGGTGATACACTGAAGTATAATCTGCTGCATCATAGATTCTATTTTTATTGAAACCAAGATTCTTGGGAGGCTGATTTTTGGCATCATGTTGCAGGAGTGGTATCATCTCCTTGAGCTTGGCATGCGTAGTCTTCATCATTATTCTGTATGCTAATGCAGGATTTCTTCCCATGTCCAGTGCACACAGAGTTGGCATAATAGGGCATTCTTGAAAATGCACATCTGATAACCCTCGTGTTCGACATTCCTCACTGCAAAATATCACCTAAAAAAAATTATAAAATAATTATTAATTAATAAGAAATAATCTAGTACAGATAGTAGGCTATATATTTACTTATAACCTTCATAAAAAGTATTATGATTATTATTACAGTATTAATATTATTATTATTGTGTAATTCAGGAATTAACCCTATAGTGTAGTTATCATCACACCCTAACACTTTCGCGCTCCCGGCAAGCGAGAAAAAAACTTGCCCCTAGTGCACGCAAAGTTTCGGACGATCGAGTGGCAACACTGAAAAGTGTATACTCTTTTCATTGTCCTGACCTTAATTTCTTATGTATGTATTTCATTTTTGTAGCATTGTGTTTGAAATAGAATGTTCTAGAAGAACATACATATAAAATGTCACCAAAGCATGAGTTAGACCAGCACCAAATAACGAACTATGTTGATCACTAGCCGTGAGCGCCAAATAGCAACGAAATGTTTCTACTCTTTTCAGGGTTGTCAACTCCACACTTGTCCTACAGTGTTAAATTTGGTATCACTGAGATCCCAATAAAATTCCCTACGCGGACATATGCATATAAATGTAGAATCATGGTCACGGCCCACCCGCAAGAGTGTGGGAAGTGGCCGAAGTGTTACCCGTTGCCGCACACCCGACAGCACATCGGCGATACCCCTATTTAAAAGTGAATACTCTTTTCACTGTCCTGATCTTAATTTTCAATGTATGTATTTCATTTTTGTAGCAATGTGTTTGCAATAGACTTTGATACCAGATGCGCTTAAAGCAGCAGACATTGCCCCTCTACACAAGGGTGGTAGCAAAGCATTGGCAAAGAATTATAGACCAGTTGCACTAACGTCCCACATAATAAAAGTATTTGAGAGAGTGATCAGGAGTTAGGTCACTAGATTCATGGAAACCAATGACCTCCACAATCCAGGCCAACATGGATTTAGAGCAGGAAGATCATGCCTCTCACAGCTACTTGACCACTATGACAAAATCACTGAGGCATTAAAGGAAAAACATAACGCAGATGTCGTGTACACAGATTTTGCAAAGGCATTCGAGAAATGTGACTATGGAGTGATTGCACACAAAATGAGGTCAATGGGTATAACTAGTAAAGTAGGACGCTGGATACTCAATTTCCTGTCGAACAGAACACAAAGAGTAACAGTCAATCAAGTAAAATCGAGTTCAAGCGCAGTTAAAAGCTCTGTACCTCAAGGTACAGTCCTTGCACCACATATATCTGATATTCTCATATCGAGAAATGTGACTATGGAGTGATTGCACACAAAATGAGGTCAATGGGTATAACTAGTAAAGTAGGACGCTGGATACTCAATTTCCTGTCGAACAGAACACAAAGAGTAACAGTCAATCAAGTAAAATCGAGTTCAAGCGCAGTTAAAAGCTCTGTACCTCAAGGTACAGTCCTTGCACCACATATATCTGATATTCTCATATCGAGAAATGTGACTATGGAGTGATTGCACACAAAATGAGGTCAATGGGTATAACTAGTAAAGTAGGACGCTGGATACTCAATTTCCTGTCGAACAGAACACAAAGAGTAACAGTCAATCAAGTAAAATCGAGTTCAAGCGCAGTTAAAAGCTCTGTACCTCAAGGTACAGTCCTTGCACCACATATATCTGATATTCTCATATCAGATATAGACAAAAACACAAGTCACAGCTTCGTGTCATCCTTTGCAGATGATACAAAAATTAGCATGAAAATTACCTCTGCTGAAGACATTGATAAACTACAAACAGATATTAACAAAGTTTTCGATTGGGCAGCAGAAAATAACATTATGTTTAACGGTGAAAAATTCCAGGTACTCAGGTAGGGTAAAAATGAGGATCTTAAACATAATACAGGGTACAAAACACAATCGAATCTGCCCATAATAGGAAAACAGCATGTCAAGGATTTGGGAATAATGATGTCCGACGACCTAACGTTTAGGGAGCATAACCAAGCAAGTATTGCGTCAGCCAGAAAAATGATAGGATGGATTACGAGAACCTTCAAGTTCAGAGATCCCATCACAATGGTTGTACTCTTCAAATCACTTGTGTTGTCCCGTCTTGAGTACTGCTCAGTACTCACTTCCCCCTTCAGAGCAGGAGAGACTGCTGAAATTGAGGGAATACAGAGAACATATACGGCACGCATAGACGAGATAAAGCACCTAAATTATTGGGATCGTCTCAAAGCTCTCCAAATGTACTCACTAGAAAGGAGACGAGAGAGATACCAAATAATATACACATGGAAAATACTGGAGGGACAGGTCCCAAATCTGCACAGTAAAATAACAACGTACTGGAGTGAACGACATGGAAGAAAATGCAGAATAGAACCAGTGAAGAGCAGAGGTGCCATGGGCATAATCAGAGACACTGTATGAACATCAGAGGCCCACGGTTGTTCAACGTCCTACCAGCGAGCATCAGAAATATTACAGGAACAACCGTGGACATCTTCAAGAGGAAACTAGATTGTTTCCTTCAAGGAGTGCCGGACCAACCGGGCTGTGGTGGGTATGTGGGCCTGCGGGCCGCTCCAAGCAACAGCCTGGTGGACCAAACTCTCACAAGTCAAGTCTGACCTCGGGCCAGGCTTGGGGAGTAGAAGAACTCTCAGAACCCCATCAACCAGGTAACCAATCAGCCAGACTGTTCTAGAAGAACATAAGTATAAAATGCCATACAAGGATGCGTTAGACCGGCACCAAATAAAAAACTATGTTGCTCATTAGCCGTGAGTGCCAAACAGCAACGAAATGTTTCTACTCTTGTCAGGTTTGTCAAGTTTAGACTTGTTGTACACCGTTTTTATTTGTAGCACAACGATCACAATACAATTCCCTACACGGATATATGCATATAAAATCAAAATAATGGGCAAAGCCCCACCTGTAGCAATGCCCAAAGTCACCTTACTGCAACCCGTTAGCCACACCCATAGACACACCTGCTACACTCGAAAAAAACTTCATGAAGTTTCCCGTTTACTTATAGAAGTTATGTGATACATTGTTCATTTTGGTATCAAAATACTCGCAATAAAATTGTCTACAAAACGTATAAAACATAATATCTTATTTATAAAAACTTATTCAAAGTATGTGTACTTACCAAGGGAAAGATGATGGTAGAACAATAAGTTGAGCATTTTTTGATCCACTCCACCACCTTCAGGTCAACGGTCCTGAAGTTGCTCAACAGCTGTTTCATAAGTGGAGTGAATCTGTTGCAGGTGGTTACTTCTTTTCCACCCAATATACCTTTTTCCAGTGGTATCTGGTGTAGCAAGGTATAACACACAGTCCAACATCACACATTTTGCATCCTATGCTAGTGTTCCTCCTTATACCTGACATGTAACAAACATGACACTTTAGACGGTTTGGCAGTTTTATAATTTCTACAATTTCATATGTGAGCTTGTAGTTGAGACGATTTTCTGAATCAACAATACATCGGTTTCTTTTATGAGGAGGAGGACGACTTGTGTCCGAGTCTTCTGTCACACCCGTCTCGTCTAAGGGTTCTGTACCAGATATCTCGTGTTCTGATTCAGGTGAGGACGCATGGCCTTGAGGTGTTGAAGTAAATAGAGGCCGCCTCACACCAGATGGTCCGGGTGTTGACACGGCGGCAGCATCAGCAGGACTTACGTCAGCATTTATGTCTGGAGCCTGTGGCAGGGTTGTAGTTGTTGGAGGCCATTCTTCAGCATCTCACTTCAATAGGAACCAAATTGTCACCTCGTGAAACTCTAGCAATGTTAGCTTCCTGCGATCACTTGTGTTCTGCCTGTACAAAACAAATGCATTATGGAAAGCCATTTGCATAAAATAAAACATGATCTTCTTGGTCCACTTGTGAGTTTTTCTTACGAACTGGTAATACTTGACCATTTGATCGGAGTGATCAATACCTTTCATGAAGCGATTATAATAACAAATTGCTTTTGGTTTGTTCACTGTTACCTGCTCGTGTGAAGTTGTTCCGTCACGTTAATGAATTCGTTTCTTTCGCATAACTATCTGAGTGTCTGCATTGTGGCAGTTGGTAATGATTGAGACCACTCGCTTGTCTTTACAAAGTATAACGAATGTGTTATCTTTGAGGCGGTACAGGGAGGTATTCAATGGAAGTTTACCCTTTGCTTGCTGTTGCAGTTCCTTCGGTAATTATCTAAGTGTAATTACCTAAGTGTAGTTACAGGATGAGAGCTATGCTCGTGGTGTCCTGTCTACCCAACACTCTGTTATATAACGCTTTGAAGCTACTGACCGTTTTGGCCTCCACCACCTTTTCACCTAACTTGTTCCAACCGTCTACCCAGCAGCCAGCATGTAAAGTTTTGCACCATATTTGTCTGGTTTGTTGGGACTGTACACCTTGAAAGAGAGTCGGCCATGCCATGCCATCGTTCCTTCATCCAAACGCAATTCTTTCTTTGGAACGTAAACTTCTGCAAATTTTGTTGTAAAATGATCGATCACTGGTCACACTTTTATCAACCTGTCAGTATTGTTCAAGGGAATTGCATTGTTATTATAGGTATGGAAGAACTGGAAGAAATGGAAGAACCTCATGTATAAGGTAGCACTCGTGGGACACAGTCAGTTACCCACAACACTTAGACCTATACCTCATACTGAAGTAAGAATCTTTAGGTCACCAGGAGCAACAGCTCATAACTTGTATAATAATTCCTCACTAACACCAATTATGTGTTAACCATTTGGGCTATACAAATATTTCAATATACGGCTGTCAGCAGACTGTCCATTATAGCCTAAATTCAATCCATAATTACTGATTCCCTCAAGTCAGTGGATTCAATAACATTTTAGGATCCAGTATACTAATACAAATTACTGATCCCATACTAATTAATCATTACTAATCCTGATAACATTTTATTCCACAATTAGGAAGTACATTCAGGAGGTAAATATTATTTATGGCAGTAGAATACTTGCCAAACACAA